GGAGAGGTGCCAAGCACGCTTGCGGCAGCCTACAGTGTGCCAGCAGTAATTAGGCAGTCATAGCTCAAGGACGGGGAAGTGAAGGTACCTCACCTCCCTGCAATGTTAAGTAGCAGGGGGGAAAAAAGTCTTTAAATAGCCTCCCATGCCACAGCAGATTTCAAAAGCTGCACCAGGAGGAGGGCGCACCAGCATATCCCTGTTGCCTTTCTTCCCGTCAGGAAGGTCTATGCCACTTGCTAAGTCCTTGAAATGAAAACCCCTGTGGTTTGTCCATTACGTGCAGAGTGCAAAGCCATTTTCCGGGAAGCAGAGGGACAAGTGGTGAGCAGCGACACCAAACCCAGGCTCCCTGCCTTCCCAAAATGTCCCGGCAGCACCTCCCGCATCACTAACGCGGCACGGCATCCTTACCCTAACCCCCAGCCTCTGGCAGCCTGGTGCTCTCCTATCTCTCCCTTTCCGGCTGCACACAAGCGCATCGTGTGCTAACACGACACGTAGCCATCACTGCCCGGTGCAAAACTCTCTTTGGGTGTCAGGGGCAGAACAGCAGGGTGAAGCGCGGGACACAGCGAGTGAAGCAACAACCCCAAACCAGACTCATTCCCTGATGCAGCAATTACAGCAGGATGTCATGTAACTAAACTCACTCCATTACTCTTTTGTGCCAGATTGTGCTGCCACAAAGGATAAAGTTATGACCTTTGGTTGGGTTTTTTGCTGTTTTATTTTTTTTTTTGGGGGGGGGCGGCGGGGGGAAGGGAGGAGAGGGAAGAAGGTAGAGATAAAATAAAATCATATTGGGGAAAAAAAATTCAGAGATGTCACATTATTAACATTTTTATTAAGGCAGAATTTACTTTTGTTTCTTTCTTATTAAACTATCTCTAAAGGAAAGCAGGGAAAGCCACAGCCTTGGTTGCTTTTTTAAGGTCTTTGCTCCAAGCATCTAAATTATATCCAGAGAACAGAAGCACTTCTGCTTGTCTGTGGTCCAACCACAAGCAACCACCTGGTTCCTCACTCTGCTGAAAACGGTGAAGTCAGGGAGCTGGGCAAATCTTTCAAGATCTACGCTCACCAAAACCAGTTAAGGAAGGAAAACAAGGGACATCATTGTTTGAAAAACAATACCCTCAGCACATCTGCAGAGGACAAACCTTTCTTGAGACGAAAATCACGTAAAAACAACTCCTAAAAGGAAGCATCATTGCAATTAACTATTTCAGGTTGAAGGCACTGACTTATTCCACTACTGTCATGGAGGCTGAATACCCTATTCCACTATAATTTCTGTCTAGAGCTGTGTAGCAGCCTGACTATTCATATTTGAGATGACATTTCAACCAAAATCTTCCCCTTCTTTCCTCCTGCAAGAGTATTTGGCTTATGTAAAGCTTCAAGAGTCATCAAGCTTTGAATCAGCTTACTGAAAACCTGCAGATAATACAGACAAGTGCTTTTGCAGTGTTGGAAAATGAATGGTTGAAACACTGAAGTTTAAGAGCTACCCGTTCCAGATATCACTTTAATGTAAAGCAACAACTAAATATATTAGCACACGCAAAGCCTACTGAGAAGGCTGAGAACACACTTCAACTAAGATGCTCACATGATCACAAGTACATTAAACGAATGAATATTGGGCCCTTGGGCATTTAAGAGTAAGAAATCCAGAACTATAATGAAAACAATCTCTAATGCTTAAGGCCATATTAGCAGATTAAATAATTTTAGAGAGAGAGCCTTATCAGCCTTGGATATTACCTTTCACATTTGCACAGGTTCCCATAGCACAGCTGACCAAGCAAGCCACGGATGCCCAAAATACAGTGGTACAGAGTCAATTTAGGTATCTTCCCACAGTAGGGCATAAGGTAAACAGACATGAGAAAGTGAAATCTTCACTCCTGTCTGGGTAAAGAGAAACTATGAAGCTAAGAACAAAACTGATGCAGAAAACAGCTCCTACTAGTAGCACCGGATCATTGTCTGTTTGCTACAATGACATGAAAAGATAAAAAAAATATATTTTTATTGCATGTTGCATATATAATAGATTTCAGTCCTTCACTAGAATTTCCCGTTTTGAAAGACAAAAAACATCATCTGGGAACTCTACCAGCCAGCCAGGGGAATAGCTATATAGCTTTGCATACAAAAACTTCACACAAGAAAACTGACAAATCCTAAAACTGTCATCAGTTCTACTAACCATTTCCCCTGCACACTCATGCAATAAAAGAGAAATAAATAACTGATTTTTTTAAAAGGAATTGTATTTTGTATTTGAGTAACCTGTAATCTCTTTAAACTGGAAAGTGAAGAAAGAGACTTTCATGCCTCAAAGTAGTATCTGTAGGTAGAAATAAGATTCTGTAAAGCACGAAGATGGTTTTAAAATAGTAGTATGTAATACTGCAAATCTTTATGCCCCAGGCAAAGGAAATGGACATAGCTAAGGCACTTTAAAGGGTTCAGTCCTTTGGTGGTCTGAATGTCAGGAAAGATCAGCCAGATCTTTTAAGCTTTCCAGAAGATATATTTTAAACACTTAAAAGTGACCTTAGGTAGCAATACCCAAAAAAATAGAACTGCACTCAGAATATGCCCAGCCAGTATGCAGGGATGACATCTTCAGAAAACTGGAAGACTGCATACACTTTTAAGAGCAAAGAAATTCATTGCTATCCCTCAACCTTGAGAGCAGATGCATATGTTAAGAGCACAGTTACATACAGCCAAAGTCAAAGAGAAAGCCCTTCTTGTCACCTTCGCTGGGCACAGGACTTTGAAGTCCCTGTGAAGCCCCTCGTTCCACGGTGGAAAGAGAAGTTTTACAGTCAGTGGTGACAATCCCACCCTCAAGACTTTTGGCAGCCTAACCCAGTGCCGATGCAGGCCACGTTAAGGGGCTGCGAACCCCATTCCTAGAGCTTTTTTTTTTTTTTTTTTGGAAGCCGTTCGTGATTTTGGATACTTTTTATTGCTGGGTGCCACAGCTGAATCACTGTGAAGAACCTCCCTGTTCAAAAAGTTGTTAGGGAAATACTTTTGGGGATCAGACTTTCAGATGTCTGCCTTCAGAGGAGCATCCAAAGTTTGTCCCTTGCGTAGCTTCTCAAAAAAAGTGAGATATCTGTTCAAAAATTACACTGACAGGCACTATCTAAAGATAAATCCATGTTACCGATCAGACTATAAGGGGCCACACAAAGAAGAGCAACAAATTACATCGTTTTCATCTCATCATATCCCATTAGACTGGCACTTCATTCACACCACTGTGAATCCCCAGTAATTTGTGTTGAATACAAGTCACTTCCAACCTTTTTATCCTTTGTTGGTTTCTGCAACAAGTTAAGCATTGCTTTGGACTGAGAGCTTTTCTTTTTTTGAGAGAGCTTTTTTCCTCTCTGATGCCTTCTGATAAGTCCTTAAGAATGAATGCTCCATGAAAGCCACTATGCAGAAAGGCAAAGCGCACAACTGACTTGTGAAGTAAAGGGTGTGAAAGAAATTCATTTTAAAGAACTAGACGCTAGTATGAATACACTTATTTATATCACAGAGCACTACAGTTCCAACATCAACAGCTGAGTAATCGGGCCATATCTAAGTGTAAAAGATAAAGACTAGCTTTGTGGACACTTATTGGCAGTCAGTGGCTCCTACTCACATTAAAAGTGCCCCAGATGACATCAGCTAGGTCCAATTAAGAGAAATCAGTTTTAATTCTAACAAAGAGCCTGTGACCCAGACAAGAGAGAGACGGAGTGTGTTCCAAGGCGCTTTTCAGTCAACAGGAAAAACAACAAGCCGGCTGGTTTGCATAATTTTTGTGAGATGTACAAAAGCTTTATATCATCGTTCATTACGCAATTGATTAAAAAAACTGCCGCGGAGGGACTGCAGGGGTGCCTCCGTCCCCGGGCGCGCACACACCCACACGAGCCCGATGCCCCCCGCTCTGGAAGCGGCTCTCCGCTCCCCGCGGGTATTTTCTCCACTGCGACACCGAGCGCGGAGCCCTCCGCTCCGCACAGGCAGACCAGCAGAAACGTAACTGCTCCCGCCGGAGGGTACCGCTACGAAAAACCCTCTCGCTTAACACGGCATGCCCTGCCCCAGTTCATATCACACGCGCTTTCTGTCACGGAGATGAGCTGCTAAATATTTCCTCCCCCCCCAAATATCTTCTGCACGAGGGACCCAGGCAAAAGCTCACCCTGCCTGCCGCCCGCTGCCGAGCCCGCACGGCCAACGCGGCCGCGAACAGCCACAGCGACGCCGCCGC